ATTTCCCCCGGTGCCCTGGCATGTTTTGCCTCTTCGGTCATCTTCGGTCCGTCCTCAACCACTGTCGATGGCCAGCCCCGCTCGAAGAGCCTCGGAATGGGGTTCCAAGGCCCTTGCATCCTTACCGCGCATCCTTACTGTATAAGTTGACTGGATAGCACAGCACAATGTGCGTTGCCACGTGCTCGGGCGGACCTGGCGAATTGTGCCCGCCGCGAAAGTGTCGCGGCTCGAGCGGGAGCGCACGTGGAGCACGTGGAACATCGGGCGGACTGGGCTCGCGTGGCACGCTCGGGCCCCTTGGGGCACTTGCTACTCGCAGCTTGGCACGCGTGGCGCTGGGTTCAGAGGAGGAACATGCACCCATACCTTTACCCTTCCCTCAGTTTCCCCTTTGTGGGCCTCCTGGGCGGCCCCCGTCGCCACCGCTGCGTTCGCCTCGAAATCCTGGTCACAATGGAGGAGGCGAAGCAGGATGGGGGAGGAGGGCGAGCAAGAGGAAACCGCCTTCGCGGTTCGTCGCCGACTTGCATCGTTTTTGTTTTTCCTGGAAAAGCGTGTTCCGGGGGCCGCTTTCGGGCCGCGAGCTTTCAAAAATGGGTCCAGGACCCTTGGGGTGTTATCGGAGCTGGTAAGCAGCGGCCCCGGTGCTGACTGCTTACTGGTGGCCCATCGAGCAGCCCCGGCGCTGATTCGATGGGCGCCCCCATAACAAGATCTGGCGGTGAAGGCAGAACGGGCACAGGAGGAGGCGAAGAAGGATTCGGGAGGCGGAGGTGGAGGGGGGGAAGAGGAGGAGGAGGAGGAGGAGGAGACGGGGAATACATAATAGCCTGTAGGAGGCGCGCCCGGAAGGCGATCGCGGCCGGCCCGAGGTGGCTTTTGCCCACTCACGCCCGCTGCCTTTTTTTCAAGCCCATTATGGCCGCATTGAGTACACACCCCGGTACGTATCCCTATTATGGCCCCGATCACTCTCTCACCCCACCTTGTCCGAGCCACCTTACCTGATTCGCCTTCTTGGCCCATTTGCTACATTATTTCGTGCACCAGCGATCCTCAACCGTTATGCTCACATAGCCAAAATGCCCTCCGATCCTCTCACAGCGTTGACACTTGAGCCCTCCTTGCCCTCTTGCCCAGGTGCCGTCTGAACCATATTACCCTTTTCTACCAGACCAACCTGTTTGCCGTCGTGTTCACGTTATTGCATTACCCTCTTTGCCATATTACCTTCACGTTGCGTTACCCATAGTAACCCTTCAAACCATATTCACACACTTGCCGTCTTACTCCCTTTTCTCATCATGCCCATTTGAGCCTCGCACCCCCTGAGCAGCATTGACACTGTTCTTCAGCTTACCCTCTCGCCATTTTCCTCCTGAGCATGATTCACCGCATTCGCCAGATTACCTTCTATGGCATTGCTTTCCTCACCCACTTTTGCTCTTTCCTTTTTACTTTCGTAATGTTTTTGTCCGTCTGATCCTCTTAACCTCTCAGCCCTCTTACCCTCTCAATCCTCTTAACCCTGCGCCCTTTTGATGCGCGCCCGGCCCACGGGGTCGGAAAGAATGCGCGGAGGGAAGGAGGAGGGAAACGGAAAGTATGAACGTACATTGACGTTCTTGTTTATTTTGCGATTGGCGCGATACGGACGGCAGGATGATGATGAAGAGTCACCGTTCTTACCACCTGTCCCTGTTACTTTCTTGCGTTCGTCATCCCGTTTTCTCTTGCCCTGTGACCCTCGTAATGCTTTCTTATTCTTAGCCTTCTTGCTATCCTGACATTTGACCCTCTTATCCTCTCAACCTTCTCAGCGCCCATGCCATCTGATTCATCTTGGCCACCCTAACCCCCTCGCCTTCCTGACGCTGGGGGGGAGGGGGCAGGGAGAGATGCATGGATGGCTGGCTGCGGGAGGCGATCGCCGCGCGTTCAGGGTCCCATCGTCGGAAAGAAGGCACAGGGGGAAGGAGGACGGCAAAAGGTAGCAATAACGTAAATTGGCGTTCTTTTTTTTGCGATTGGAGCGATACGCACTGCAGGAGGATGATAAATAGCCACCTTCTTCACCATGTGACCGTTTTACATTCATGCCTTCGTCATGCCCTTTTCTTCTTGCCCCCTTTCCCTCGTGATGATTTCTTCCTTTTCGGCCCTCTTGCTATCTTGCCGCTTGATTCTCTTATCTTGTCAGCCTTTTCACCATCTCAATCCTCATCGCCCCCCTGCCTTCTAAGCGCGCGACGGGCCCAGGCGTTGGAGAAAAAGGCCCCGTGGAAGGAGGGGGGGGGAAGCGCAGCAAGAACGTAACTTGACGTTATTGCTTCCTCTGCGTTTGGCGCGATACGGACGGCAGGATGATGATAATGAGTCTCCGTCTTTACCACCTTACCCTTTTACCCTCTTGCCTTCGTCATCCCGTTGCCTCTTGCCCTCTTACCCTCGTAAGCCTTCTTGTTACCCTGACGTTTGACTCCCGTATCCTTTCGGCCGCTTTACCCTCTCAGCCTTCTCAGCGCCCATGCCATCTTACTCATCTCGACCGCCCTAGCCCTCCTCGCCTTCCTGACGCGGAGGGGGAAAGGGGCAGGGAGAGATGCATGGACGGTTGGCTGCGGGAGGCGATCGCCGCGCGTTCCGGGCCCCGCCGTCGGAATGAATGCCCAGGGGGAACGAGGGGGGCAAAAGGAAGCAAGAACGTAAATTGACGTTCTTGCTTTTTTTGCGATTTGAGCGATACGCACTGCAGGAGGATGATAAAGAGCCACCGTCTTCACCATCTGACCGTCTTACTTTCATGCCTTCGTCGCCCCCTTTTCCTCTTGCCCTCTTTCCCTCGCAATGCTTTCTTCCCTTCGGCCCTCTTGCAATCTTGCCGCCTGATTCTCTTATCGTCTCGGCCTTCTTACCCTCTCAATCCTCATCACCCCCCTGCCTTCTAAACGCGCGACGGGCCCGGGCGTCGGAAAAAAAAAGGTCCCGGGGAAGGAGGGGGGAGAAGCGAAGCAAAAACGTAACTTGACGTTATTGCTTCCTTTGCGATTGGCGCGATACGGACGGCAGGAGGAGGATGATGAGTCACCGTCTTTACCACCTTACCCTTTTACCCTCTTGCCTTCGTCATCCCCTTTTCCTCTTGACCTCTTACCCTCGAAATGATTTCTTTCTCTTAGCCCCATGTCTATCGGGTCGTCTGACGCTGTTATCTTCTCAGCCCTCTTACCCCCCAATCCTCGTAACGCCCGCGCCCTCTTAATCATCTTGAACATCCCCGCCGCCCTCGCCTTCCCGACGCGAGGGGGGAAGGGGGCAGGGAGAGATGCATGGATGGATGGGCGTGGGAGGAGATCGCCGCGCGTTCCAGGCCCCGCCGTCGGAAAGAAGGTACAGGGGGACGGAAGAGGGAGAAGCGAAGCAAAAACGTAAATTGACGTTCTTGCTTTTTTTGCGATTGGAGCGATAGTGACGGCAAGGGTAGGATGAGGAGTCGCCGTCGTCACCATCTTACCCTCTTACCTTTCTGCCTTCGTCATCCCCTTTTCTCTTGCCCTCTTACTCTCGTGATGCTCTCTTCCTCTGAGCCCTCTTACTACCTTGCCGTCTGATCCTCTTATGGTCTCAGCCCTCTTGCCTTCCGATTCCTCCTGACCCCCTGCCGTCTCAATCATCTTGACCATCCTAACCCTTTTCGTCTTCCTGACGCGGACAAGGGAGGGGCAGGGAGACTCCGATGCGCTGCCGAGGCTTCCGAGCCCCCTTAGAGGCTCACAGCGCGCCTTCAAGAGACCCCAGAGGCCCCAGAAGGTGTCCGGGCGGCGCCAAGAAGCTCCAGAGAGGCCCCCAAGAGGCCCCCAAACACGCCCTCAAGAGGCTCCCAGGACACCGCCAAGACGCCCCCGAAGAAGCCCCCGACACGCCCCCATATGCCTCCAATACGCCCCCACTGCACTCTGGCTGCGTCTCTCTCGTTTGCTCCCGCGGGGGCTTCTTAGCGGGCGCCGTCCATTCAGATCAGCCTACGGGCGCGCGAGTCAGCTCTGTCCTGTTCGTCCTTGTCTTCCTGACCGGCACGTGTCCAGGGATACTGACAGATTTCGCTTGCATTGCGCAGCATGCGGCTGCGACCTTTTCGGTTGCCACGTCATGGTGTTGTCTGCCCTTTTCCTCGTCCCCTCTCCTCTTCCTCCTCTTCTTCCTGCTGCTGCTGCTCCTTCTCCTCCTCCTCCTCCTCCTCCTGTCGCCCGTTTTATATCCCTATGCGACCACCCTTCGGGTGATAAAGGGGGTTGTGGGCTGGAGGGGCCAACTGGAGCTACAGCATAGCATACCATACCATATATAAGCACCGCATAACATAGCATCGCATAGCATAGCATATCATCGCATGGCATTGCGCAGTATAGCATCGCATTGCACAGCACACCAACCTATCGCGTAATATTGCGTAGCGCATCAAGGCATCGCATAGCGCAGCATATCACATCATATCATAGCACGGCGTTGCAAACATCGCATAACATTGCTTAGCACAGCACCGCATCGCATCGCAGAGCGTGGCACAACGTAGTATAGCATAGCATAGCGTAGCATCGCATAGCGTAGCATAGTATGGCATCGCATAACATAGCATCGCATCGCATGCCGGAGGCTTACAAGAGCCTCGGAGGTTCCCCGGATCCTCCGAGTTCCCCGGGCTCTCCCTGGACTCCCCGGACTCCTTGGACTCCCCTGGGCTCCCTGGACTCCCCGGGCCCCCTGGGCTCCCCGGACTCCCCGGACTCCCCCGGACCCCCCAGACTCCCCAGACTTCCCGGACTCCCCAAGAAAGGTCATATGCGGCATACATAATCAAAAAACATCTGCCCCAACACCTCATCATCTGTAGTGTGTGCTTATAGTTACGTTTACGTTGCCGCTAGTGCTCAAGTGGTTCGGAGGGCGCTCCCCTGCGATCACACGCGGTCGGCGCATTGCCGCAGTGCTTCGAGCTCATGACCGCCCAAGCCAATGTCCAGCAGTTCAGCGATGAGATGAAGGATGCATGGGAGGTTGTGGACAAGCACTTCGACCCAGAAGAGATCTTAGGCTCCGTTGTGGCGGACATCGTTTCCAAGCACGCGGTGCGAGCATCTCAGCATGAGCTGCCATACGCCATGTCCATGATGGCGGGGTACATTTCCATGGCCAACGGCGGCGGGGTCAGCGTGTTCCCCAACAGCCCGTCGCCGCTCATGATGGCTGTTCAAAACACAAACTACCCACAAACCCGGAAGTCAGCTATCACAGCAGCTGTCGCGATGCTCGGGCGCGCCATGGACAAGCGCGCCAACAAGAGGGCACGCGCTGCGATGGGCCCTGGAGCGAAGGCCAAGACTCCTGTGCTCGCCAAGTTCACGGAGGCTGCCTTCTGGGAGAGGTGCGCGCCCGATTTCCAGCAAGTGCACGTGCCCGCGAAGCGCTCGGAGGAGCAGGGCGCGCCAGACCCCGAACCTGATGACGACGACCTCGCCCGGACCAACCACGGGACCCTGTTGAACTTAGACGAGGCGTATAAGATGCTTCGGATGCTGGGGATGATCGCGGGCACTGGCAGCAAGAAGGATTCCCTAGAAGTCACGGACCTGGCGTCCGACATCAATCGCCTGTTCCAGACAGGAGTCGCCGCCTACACAACGAAGACGGCTGGGTCATTCGGCCAAGAAACAGGAGCAAGTGTATGCCTCGGCGTCGCGGGGAACGCCCACCCAGCTATCACCGTCCCCATGGAGAGGGGGGACCTTGGTAATCACCACGTGGCTGTGCGGGAGCGCTGGATCATCCTGACTGCCCCCGTAGTCGAACCCCACGCGCCACTTCCTGGCGACTTCGTCGTGCCCTCGGGCTTCCATAAGTGGTCGTGGCCCGAACTCATGTCGACGATGGTGGAGCCGCTCGGGTTTCCTCCGGGCGCGGACGTCCCGGAGATCGCCGCGAACGCGCTGCCGCGTGCCAGGGGTGTGCCTCATTCGGACGCCGTTGCCCACGAGTCCCAGAGCGGCGACGAGTACTTGCCTGACGTTGAAGGCCTCGGTGTTTGCAGAAGCGCCCCAGGGCGATATTTTCCCCGCGATGCGAGAATGGTTCCCCGTTCCCCTTAAAAACTGAAAGGGCCGCAGCGCGGGCGCGAGGGGCCCGCTGGCCCCCAGTGGGGCCAGGGGCGCGTGAGCCCGCGGGCGCTTCAGCCAATTCTGGGGAGGGTATTACGTTCAGTTCGCAGACGGCACGGGGAGTCGCATTCGCTTCAAGAGGGTTTCCAGCAAATTGTGCCCGACGTTCCGGGTGCCAAACAGAGACATCCCTGTGCTCGCCAACGAGAGCATGGACAGCATCGCGGCGAGGGTGCTCGACATGTTCGAGACGCCGGGCATCCAGCTCGGTTTCTCCAAGAAGGGGCTCTTGGCCTTGCGCGGCTTCCACACCATCTTCAACGCCAGGTGCGCCCAGGCGCGCAGTGCAGACAGGGTCTCCCTGTCCGCGCGTCTCGGCATCGCCCCGTGGCACCTGGCCATGCTCTCTGCCGGCCTTGCCATCCTCAAGTCGGGTGCGGCGCGCGCGAGCCCCCAAAGCTCGCCCTGGCGCCCGCGGCGCCCGGCGCCAGCGGGCCCGACGGCGTCGCTGGAGAAGCCCGGCAGGCGAGGAAGTCCCCGCGGCGCAGGGCGCGCCCGAGGAAGTAGATGAATGCATCCGGGGGCCGCACTACCCGGACTTCATCGAGGACACGCACGTCGTGCGGGCGTGCAAGCTCTCTGCCGTGCTGGACGCCATTCGCTCTTGCTGGCACCCCAGGAGGGGCGCGGACACACCCGAGGAGCGCCTCCGCAGAGCCGAAGTGGCCGAAGGACAAGCTCGCCTGCAGCAGGTTCGCGGCCCGCCTGTTGCCAGCGACGGGGCAGCGGAGGCGGGCTTCCTCGACTACGCGCCGAGTCAGACACAGCCCGGGCGCGAGCCGCGCGCGGAGGCATCGGCCGCCGCAGCCGCAGAGCCTTCGGGCGGCGCGGGCGAGGGTGGATCGCAGGTCGCGCCTGCGGCCTCTGCTCGGGCTGCGCGCGGGGCGTCTGGCGCACCTCAGTGCCTCCTCCCCGCGGACGCGGACGTCCCAGCGATGGACGTCGGTTTCGGCGTGGGCGGGGCGTCGGTGCAGACGCCCATTCCCGGCATGACCATGGTGCCAGACAGGCAGTTGATGCAGCGCGTCCTCCTCCGTGGCGAGGCCCTGGTAAGCCTGCGCAAGGTGTGCGATGCGGTGAAGATGAAACCCGACGGCTCCAGCGCGCAGGTCACGAAGCCGATGAGCCTGAAGTCTGACCAGTGCGCCATTGTCGTCAAAGCTGCCCTCAACCTCTACAACGTCGCCGAGTTCGACCCGCAGGGCTGGGTGACCGAGCGGGATCGCGGCGCGGCAGTTCGCTGGCGCCTGCCGGACCCCGAGGACGGCACGGCCGTCGCGAAGTACCACAACCTGTTGATGAAGTGTTGCCGGGTCAGCTATTCGCAGCTTCTCCAGGTCATCAAGCAGCGCGAAGAGAGGGGCGGGAACTCTCACAGGGCCCCCCGCGGCCGACCCGCGCCCGCAGCGCCGCCCCAGGGCGCCGCGGCCTGCGCCACTTCGGGGGGCGCTTCGGGCGCAGCAGCGGGCGCAAGCGCAGGCGCGGCGCCTGGCGGCAATCCGTTCGGTGAACTCACGGATTAGCTTGCGCGGGCTGTGCGGGCGACGGCGCGGCCCGCGCCGTGGACCCACTAGGGGGCATGGGATGTTGCGGGTAAGGACACCAATGCGCGCGAGGACGCCGCGGGCTGCTTTCCGCTCGCGAGCGCGCCGGGCCGGCTGCGGGGCCGGACTCAGTTTTCAGCCCCATTGTTCCATTTCTGCCGGGCCGTCGTTTGCAGCGGATCTCATGCGGGCGTCCGCGCGAGAGAAAAGGCATGCCCACCATGTCTCGCTTCGCCCGCGTCGGCCGAGTCTGGGGGGTGCACGCGCGTTTGCCCGTGCCCCGGCGCGCAGTCGCGACGCAGAACATCCAGTTGACTCGCGCCCGCTGCCCCCCTCCCAACTCCGTCGCCCGTAGCCGCGTGGGCCCAGCCGCTTTCGGCGGAGATTTCGGCGCGCGCAGGCTTCGGGCGTCCATGGAAATTTGTTCCTCTTCCGATTCTTGCTTTGAGTGCAAGGCTGCGCTGCACCGCGAGCCCGCTCGCTCCCGCGAGGGCATCCTCTTGCTGGTGGGCGGCTGGAAGAAGATCGTGCACTTCCCCAAACGTTGTCACAATGTGCGCTGCGGCCGCAAGTACCGCGCTGTCTGGTACAACTACATCCAGATTGGGACGTCACGGCACTGGCACTGCCACGATGGCGACCCGTTGTACTTCTTTCTCAACTCCACCATTGGGTTTTCTTTCGAATGGCTACGGCAGTTCCATTGCCGCCTTGCCTACCAGCACGTCAGCTTCATGTCGGAGGCCCAAGCGCACCTCCGGTTTGCAAGAATGCGCGGCGTGGCTTCCCTTGTCCCGACCCGGTCAGATGACTACATGACAAAAGTGTGGATTCTCTGGCGGGCACTGGTCCGTGCCCACGCCCGCGCCGTTCAGCCGGGCGCCGATCCAGTGGACTCTGTCGGATCGATTGATCTTGCAGTACCTGCGCCTGGTATCTCGCGCGGGATCGGCCCATGGTACCACGGCGCAATGGAGGCCCAAAGGGCGAGGCTATTTCACGCTGGTGAGAAGGACGCCACATTATTAGTCATGGATGGGAACCAGAAGCTCCGTCGCCGCGTCTGCGGTTATCCGTATTGCGAGCGTGTCCATTCGAAATCGCTGGGCCTTGGAATGTGGCGCTGTTGTTCCGAGACCCCGGCGCAGCAGCCGGGGAAGAGGAAACGCTCTGGCGCGCGTGGCAGCGACGCCGCTGAGGGCGGCGAACCGCCGCCGCCGCATGGCGGCGACGCCGTTGAAGACGGCGAACCGCTGCTCAAGGCGCTCCGGCAAGTTGCCCGTTGCCCCGCTCATGCATCGGCAACGGGCCTGCCTGGCCCGCGGGCGAGGTCCTACGATATCCTCTCGCATCGGCAGAAAAGCGCCCTCACCGACTCGGGCAGGTCAGTCTTCGAGCTGAATGTCCGCTACAAGTTATTCCGCTTGCGGCAGAAGCACGCAGCTGCGCGCGGGCAGCAGAATGCGTGGCCGCCAGCGGATCAGCTCAACGCTGCCGCCATTCACGCTTACCTGTCCACGATTGCTGTCAGCGGGAACTTGTCCCAACACAGCGATGAGCAATCATTAAGTCAAAGCTCTTGCAAAACCCACAAGGAAGACATAAAGACGAAACGGATGACCGCGCGGAGTGGCGGTTGGCTCTTCGCCATATCTGCGTCTGGATGCATTGTCCACCTGGACGAATTCATGGGGGCTGAGAGCATCACCCAACGCTGCATGTTTGTGGCGCGCTCCTGCGGCATGCTCCCTGGCCTCGAAGTCCTGGTTCACGACGACGCCTGCCACCTGTGCCGGTTCGCGCTCCTCAGAGACGGCCAGAGCGACATGGCAACGAATATCGCCAAGCTGCGCTACATCACTGATCCCTTCCACTCCAAGGGGCACGTCTGGAACTGGTGTTTGGAGAACTGCGCGCCGACTTTGCCTGGCAACGCCGCGCGGCTGGCTGGCGTCAATGCCAATGCGTGTGAGCATCGATTTCCTGACCTCGGGCACTACAGGGAGAACGTCAACGCCATGGGGAAGGAGTTCGCACGTTTCTTCTTGACAGAAATGATGGATTTTCGAAACGTAGATTGGCTCCGACGCGTGAGATCAGCTCCGTAGACATGTTTCACTTGTCCTTGATTGTTCCTGATATGCACTCATGCGCCGATACCTGGTAGCATTCGGCCGCATTCTATATGCATACTCCCGGGGGGGACGGCCAAGGCCCTCAAGGGCGAATGCCCCATGCTTCCCGCATCCTCACCAGCCCACCCAAAAACGAAGCTTATCCAGAAGAGGCCCGCCGGATGCCCCCACGACGCCCCCAGTGCACTCTGGCTGCGTCTCTCTCGCTTGCCTTTGCGCGGGCTCTTGCGCGGGCGCTGTCCGTTCGGATCGGCGAACACCCTTCGGGGGATAAGGAGATTGGAGTGTGGGAAGGGGGCCAATTGGAGTTCAAGCATCGCATGGCACCTCATAGCATAGCATCGCGTAGCATCGCATAGAATAGCATCGCACAGCATAGCGTTGCTTGGCATAGCGCAGCATAGCATTGCACAGCAGCATATAAACACCAGGGGACACCCCCCCGGACACCCGCGGGACAATCGCGGGCCACCGCGGGACACCGCGATACACCACGGGAAACCCACGGGACACGCGCGGGACACCTGCGGGGCATCGCCGGCCAGCCGTTGGGGGGGGGCAATATTCAGCCCAGCATTCCTCTCGCCAGCCCAAGCGGCCTCGACTCGCCCGCACACACGACACGAACACGACACCGATACCGATTTCCCGGTGGGGGGCTTTCCGTTCCACGCGATCTTTCCCCAACCTCCAATCATGCCGCATCGTTTCAGGGCTCTTTTCAATGACGTGTGCGAGTTTGCACCCACCTTTTACTACTCCTTTTCACGCTGCGGCGCTGCCTTGCGGCGCTGGTGCGCAGTCATCCGAGTTAGGGTCACCCACTCTTGCTGTCGAGGAAAAACCATTGACAGAAGGGCCCTCCCCCTGCCCTCATTCCCTCCCCAAGCCCACCCCCGGGAGCGCGTCGCTGGCGACGACGCCGTCGTCGTCGTCGCCGTCGTCGCCTTTGTGGTCTCCGTCGTCTTTGTCGTCGTCGTCGTGGTCGTCGTCGTCGTCGTGGTCGGAATCGTTGTCCAACCATTCTCGTCGCCACGGCTGGGCGTGGGTCGGCAGGTTGGCCAGCATTAACACTACGAGGTTGTCCTGCGGAGCGTTTCTCGGCGGAGTCGCACGCGTTCTAAAGAGGAGAAGCCCCAGGCAAGGAGGGCACTGAATCGGAGGAGGAGGAGGAGGACGACGAGGGGGAGGAGGGGGAGGAGGAGGAGGAATAAGTGAAAGAGAAGAACGGACGAGGAGCAGAAGGAGGACAACGACGATGACAAATGTGAGTACGAGGGGAAGGGAGACCGGACTCGACCCAGATGCGCACCGCTCTCCTCGAATGCTGTGCGACGCCGCGTCGAGCTTGCAGAAGGCCTGGGCGAGGCCGCCGCGAGAACTCGTTCTGTGGGCATTGTCATCCATGAACTGCGTGAGGCCCACTCGGATTGTCGACGCGGCGTCGAGCAGTCCACGCTGGTCCTCTCGCGTGGCCGTGACCCGCATGGCGTCGCCCCATGCAAGCTCCCCCCGTGCGCAACGGCCGGCCGTCTCCTGGCACCACGCCCAGGACGGGCTGGCCTGAGGGTCGTCGGGTTTGGCCTCCGTGTGGAAAGCGACCACAGCTTCCTCAGGTGGGTCGAGGCCTATAGCCGTGGGCATCGTCGCCGAGAGCTCGTTCGAAGCAGCGAGCCGCACCTGCATAGAACGCTGATGCCAGTCGACGTCCCTCGGGCATGCCGCCGGGGAGGGAGATGGTCTCCGAGACCGCGTCCCGGCCGACGACCTGGATCTGCGTGTCCTCGAGCATTTGGGCTGCAGCTGCTAGATCCTCTCCGACGACACCCGCGCCCTCCCAGAGGTGGAGGACAACCGCCGGCGTGTGGATGGCGTCGAAGGCCTCGGCTAGGTCCGTAAACACCTCCAGGAGCGGCAACCCGAGCTCGGTCCGCACCAAGCGAGTTTCAATGCCCAGAAGGACGGAAATCAGAGAATCGCCTCGGCCCATTTGGCTCTCGCCAGCAGATCCCCAGACCTTGTCCTCGTGATGCAGGGCCCAGAGCTCTTCCGCTATGCGGAGCTCAGTTGTGTTGGTGCTGAGGGTCCGGTAGCTTGGGAAGCGCTGCCGTGGTCGGCCCGACTTCTTCTTGTGGAACGTCGGCTGGGTTTTCCACGCCTGTGGTATAATCAGCAAGAACCTCGCGAAGTTCTGCGTCCGCAGGAGGAGGCCAACATGCTCCGGAGTGAGGGCTTTAGAGGCGTACGGCAGCCCGGCTGCTGCCTTGCCCTGCTTCACTCGGGCACACGCGTCACGGAGGTCCTCGTCGACATAGGGCCGGTGGTCAGCGGCCCACGCCTCCCGCCAGGACGCGCGGATCGAGCTGATCAGCCCTTTGAGCCGGCGCTCTTGTTCTCGGAGGTGGGCGCGCTCCTCCTCCGTGTATGCATCCTCTCGTCCTGCACCTCTGTGCGCGATGTAGGCCGCCGCGCCCCTCAGGATCGCGTCACCGTGGAGAAGTGCCGAGGGGCGGTCTGGATCCTCCATGACGTCAGGGAGGCCCAGTCCGTTAGTGGCAGTCTGGCGAGATAGGTACTGCTCGGCCGCTGCGACGTCTGTGCCGAGGAGCTCCATGTACCGTGCTGCTCTGGTCTCTGCTGCGTTTGACGCCCTCTCCGCCTCGTGCATGAGGTGGTCGCATGCTGCTTGGAGCGTGCGGGGGCACGGAGTCGCCAGTTGGGCGGCCCGGTCCTGTGGCCTTGTCGTCCAGATCAGCCCGCCGCACGTGGCCGCAAGGTAGGTGGACGACCTCCAGAGCTAGGAAGCCGTGCCCGCCGCTGCCTGTAGGACCTCCTCCGACTGCGCCTGCCAGGTTCCTCGGTGGAGGCTCCACCTGTCCAACTCCTCGGTAACAAGCGCATCGAACTCGGCGACATGGCCCTGCGCTCGGAGCCATTCCTCAGGGTCCTTGCTGAATGTCCCACGAGGCCCCCGGGCGGGGGCTGCTTCCGAGAGCCCATGGGTCTTTGCTGTGAGGCCCACTAGCTCCACGGGGTAATGGTCCAGGTCGCGGTTGCAGCGCCACGTGCTGGCCGCAATGCGGGAGCTGGCACCCGGAAGCCCGGCAGGCCGAGCCGTTGTGGACGGCCGCGATGACGCGGCTGCCCAGGGTCGCCCATGCCACGTCCAGGCGCCGCCCGCCCACGTGGGTCGGCGTGTCCGCGGGCACGAGGTCGTGGAGGCTGCGTGCCCCAATCTGCCGCTGAGCGAGCCGCTCGAGGCTGGGGCTGGGGTTGAGGTCGCCGTAGACTATGGCGGCCTCGACGCCAGTCAGGGCCAGCCGCGCGGCGTCGAACTGTGAGAAGACCGACATGAGGATTCCGCTCGGGCGCGCTCGGGGGCGTCGGGCCCTTTGGGCGGGATGCAGAAGCCGCCCACTAGGATGCGCCCGTCCACGACGAACCACTGGATCCGCTCAGTGTCGGATAACTCCTGCTTCCAATCCACTGCGAGGCCCGATTCGCGGAGCCTGAAGCCGACCACCGCTCCGTAGCGCGCGGTTGTAGGCCCCGGCGCTTCATGCGGGAAACCGGGCACGTGCGCGGGCAGGTCGACGCCCGGCAGCAGGCGGCAGGCGGTGCTGACGTAGAACTCCGCACGCAGCGCGCACATGAGGTAGCACACATCTCGCCACCTGGCAGGTAGGATCGCGGTGCCACGGAGGTTGGCGCCGCCAGACAAGCCCGCGCTGATCCCTGCGATGAAGACGCGTCTTGCTGCTCCGTCAGGGGTAGTCGGAGGGCGCGCAATCCGGGCGGGGCCGGCGCGCGCCGCCACTGCCAGTCGGCGGTGTGTGCGGCGGCGGCCGTGGCGGGAGTCCGCCCGTCGCTCAGCCTCCTCCGCGGTCGCGAGAAGGCAGTCGGACATGGCTCGACATCGGCTCGAACGCCCTCTGCCCAGTGTGTGAGGTCGCGACCCCGCGCGTCTGGTCGGCTGGGCTGACTGCTGGGAGGGGCGCCCGCGAGCGCCTCTCTGTATGGGCGCGCCTCCTCTGCCTCGACGAGCTCTCCCAAGCGAAAGTGTGCCGTAGCAGCCTCCCGGTCAGTCGTTGGCGCTGCCCCTCCGGGGTCGGCGGCCGCCGCCTGTGCGACGGCCGCCTCGAGGTCAGCGCCTAGCAAAAAACTGGCTGCCGCTGCATGGCGATCGGCCGCGGCCCCAGCTCCCCGTAGACGACCTCCATCGCGCGCTGCCCCTGAACGAATTTTTCCTCGTCGATCCACCTGGCGCCCGCGTGCCGCTGCAGGATCCTCTCGGCCTCCTCCGCGGCCTGCGCAGGGGCGCGGCCAACCGCGGAGCGGATCCGGCCGTCGGCGTTGATCCCAGAGGTCCTCAGGATCCGTTTTCTGGATCCAAGAGCGGTGTTTGTGTAAAAACGTGTTTTGCTGGATCCACTTTCCTTGGGCCAGCTTTTCTGGATCCACTTTCTGTCTTGGATCCGTTTTTCGCTTGGATCCATTTGTTCTGCTATGTTGTTTATACATACATATATATATATATATATATATATATATATATATATGTATATATATGTATATATATATATATATATATATGTACATATGTAGATACGAGTATATGTATATACGTATATACGTATATATAGCATATATGCATGTATATTATATGTGTATATATGTACATATGTATGTGATTATACATGTACACGCACATACATATGCACATGTACGCTATACGCACGCGCGGGGGAACGCTTGCCCTGAGAAGCGGCTACAACACACAAGAACGACCGCACCCGCGCGCTAGCGCTCCCCTCTCTTCTCGCTTCCTTCCTTTCGCAATCCCTCCTCCCTACACGCGCGGACGCTCGTTTTCTTCCCACGGTCGCACGGTGCGTACTGTAGCACTTTTGCGCATTGTTGAGGGCATCTGTCTACGAATCTTGTTTCGTATACGGGCGCGCAGCGCGCGGGGC